TCACTCTTTCATCCCCTTGGCATGCAGAGAAGTCTGAATCCCACCCAGACTGCATTCCACTTCCTTTTAACCCATTTTTATATCACTCAGTAAGTCCAATATCTATTTACCTTAGGCCATAGCTCCTCCTTTGATGGTTTTTCAACAAGTTTCCTGAATATCTCCCATACCCTGGTCTCTCCCTCCAGCCAACTTCCAGATTCCTGCTGATGATGAGCAATAGTTGGGGAATCACAGAACTCAGGCTCTGGCTAAGTCACAGACAGAAAGTACACAAATAAACCACTCCTTGATTTTATTTCTACTTCCTGTTTGTCTCTAGCCAGTTCCAGCTTGACAACTGGATTAGCATGTAGCTCACTTGGAAGACACATAATTGTCAGCTGTTGGCCAGAATGACATTTCCCATGAGAAGTGCTGCAGGGGCCCTCGCTGGATGGTCTCCCCAGCACCCTCTGTCCAGGTATCTCCTGCCTCCCCTCTGCTTCCTCAAGAGCTGAGCTTCAGCAACTGGAAGGTGACTTTGCCCTGCTAGCCTCTGTTGACTGTTCCAGGTTCTTCTAAAAAGTAGGACCAGCTGGATAGGATCAGAGCTGGTAATTCGGCAACATCTCATCCATTATGGTCCCAGGAGCAGAGGGAGCCAGGCCATAACAAGAGAAGAAGTTCAAACCTCAAAAGGAACATTTAACTTCTCTGGAGAAGGCCACTCCCCTCAGTGGCATCCCTTCCCTGGCTTCAGATCATTCCTGAAATTCTGGGTTGTAGGAGATGCTACAAGATACCCTTTATTGTGATTCAGATCTTAATGTGTCCCCGAATCTCCTGTGTTGAAAGCTTGGTCCTCAGCCAATGGTGCTACTGAGATGGAAGTTTTAGGAGATGGGCTCTAGCTGGGGGAAGTAGGTCACTGGGGACATGCACTTGAAGGAACCCCAGTCCCTTCTTCTCTCTGCATCTTGGCCACTCTAATGTGGGAGCAGCTTGGCTCTGCCACATGTTCCCCACCAATTGTTCTTTATCTCCACAGATCCCAAGTGACCATGGACTGAAACCTCTGAAACCATGAGCCAAAATAAATCTTTCCTCCTTTTAAGCTTGTTTTTCTCAGACATTTTATCACAGTGATGGAAATCTGACTAATATAGCTTTGTCTCCTTAAAATTTCCCTTTTCCTTAACTAGGTCAAATTGGATAGTGGCTACTTGTGATCCAAAGGAACATTGTAAATAGAAGTACACTAAAATATTTCATGGTATGCTGCAGAGAAAATAATTAGGCTTGGGATCAAAAGGAAAACAAAATCATGAAGTGAGAACCCATGGCATGCAAAGCTTTGTCATACTAGTACTTTTCCAACATGATTTTACATAATTCCACCACAGTCCCTTAAGGTCATTTTTTTTCCCCCAAATGAAGACATAAAGAATGAGAGAGGCTAATTAATATACTTAGGATCATAGAGCTATGAGTCAAGCCTGGACCATATCCAGGACTATCTTACTACAAAACTCTTTGGTGCTTGGCATCTGTAGCTTCTGCTGTGATTCTAAAAACCACAGATAACTCTCTTGGTGTAAAAATTAAGGGAGATGGGCTAGGATCGTGGCTTGGTGGTAGAGTGCTCGCCTAGCATGCATGAGGCACTGGGTTCAATCCTCAGCACCACATAAGAAAAATGAAATAAAGATACTGTGTGTCCACCTACAACTAAAAAATAAATATTTTTCAAAAATAAGGGAGATATAGCTAATCTAAATGATTTGTAAGCTATCTGGCCATTAGATCCCTAAATTATCCTGGATATATTTTTTCCATGGAGAAATGAAGTACGGTTTAAATGCAGCATATTTTAAATTGGTCTTCCTGTACTGATGGAGCCAATGGACACTTCTACAATAGCTTTTCTGTGGTGTGCTTTTCTAGGTTCATGCTTGTGTGGTAAACCCACGAATAACACCAGCTTTAGACCTGGCCCTTCGCCTTTCCCTTCTTTTATCAAACTGCAAAAGGAATTGTGACAGACCAAAGCTCTGAACAGCAATGTCATGTGGAGATGAAATAGGTGATAATGATGAGCAGGACAAAGGTTTCCTTGTTACTGCAAGTTGACCACAAATTGGGCGCAGCATCAAATAGAGACATGCACAAGATTTCTCTTCCACTAAGAGAGCAGCAGGGATGAACGCTAGGATGAATGCTGCTGGGTGGAGCAGAAATACTTTATAGAACAGGCCTGAAGGGTCACCAATATTTGCATATCAAAACTGAGAATGCATTTAACTGGACAGTGTCTCCAATGGGGGTCAGCCCTAGTCTGAGAATGTAATGGGCTCTGGCATACAAAGTCTTCTTTGCTATCAAGAGAACACTACAGTTCAGATGTAAATTAAAGTTGAAATGCTAATTAGTTTGAATACTGTTACACAAGGAACCAGCTCTACTTATACATCTTAAAGAGATGAAATAGACTTTTAAGTGTGACAAGACAAGTTGAGAAAGAAAACAAATTTGCCTTTAGAATAGTCAGTTCTTTTTCAGTGGTGCTGGAGGTTGAACCCAGGACATCGCACATGCTAGCTAAGCATTCCACCACTGAGCTATACTCCCAGCGTATTTTTTTTTTTTTTCCTATTTGTAGTTGGACACGATACCTTTATTTATTTATTTTTATGTTTGAACCCAATGCCTCACATGTGCTAGGCAAGCGCTCTGGCACTGAGCCACAACCCCAGCCCCCTGTTTGGTTCTTAATGTTATAATGCTTCCTGATTATAACATTATAATTATATATTATATAATAATTATATATTATATTATATATTATATATATAATTATATAACAATCAATCTTGATTATAAATTGAGGGTTTTTTTTTAAGGGTTTGCAATACTTGAGTGTGTCAAACTTATTTTAAATGAATCCCTCTCACACGTGGAGTTCTTTACAGACAGGTGGTATATCTCCAAGGCATAAATTTATATAAGTATGTTAGGGCAAATTTGTAGATGTTGGCTTGGACACAAATGGAGGCTCTTTAATGTTCAGTATAATGAGGTTCTTTCATCTCTGCTAGTTCAGAACTGCAGTGAGTGTGGCTAGGACTTGAACAACCTAAAATAAAAAAACCTCATTTGTCAATTTTTTTTTTGCCACTTTGTCTGCCATTTTGTGAAAACAGAGTTTATCATATCTTTATTAGGAAATAAATTTTTATAAAACTCACCTTTTTCCCCCTGCTGAATGTGGCTTAACCGTTTAATTTTTCTCTGCTTCTATTTAAGATGACTCCTAAAAGTGATAATTAAAGGATTTACATCTGGAATACTTGGAGTGTGGCAAATGGAAATAGAATCAAATCAGGAGTGTGGCTAGGCCAGTGATCCAGCATCCTGGTGCATTGGGAGAGGTGATAGATCCATTTAGGAATCTGGTACAAACTATACACCCCCTACTCCAGAAACATACATATAATACAAAGTGTTCTATACAATTTCCAAATGTCGGTGGACTTTCTTCACTCCCCAAGCTCATTCGTGGACTTCTTAGCTTTAGTGAAGCCCAGACCAGATCCAAAAATTCCTAAGGGCTTCTCAGGGGTTAAAAGGGGAGCGGCCACAACAGACATTACAACCTGAATCAACAGGTGGCAGTACTTTGATTGGCTGGGAGTCGCAGCTGGGGCAACCAGGAAAGGGCCAATGCCCTATTCCAAGACAGGGCAAGCTAGGGTGACTCCCTCGGCCTCACTTGTTGCTTCTAGCTCTGCAGCTGTCAGGCCAGGTGGCGCGGGTCTAGATGATAGGAAGGGGTGAGGGTTAGTCCGGAAATATTAATGCTAGAGTTGACATGAAGTCTTCTTTCCTGGGCCAGAGCACCCATGAAGGGATCATTCCAAGAAGTGACCTCACTTCCCCTGACCTCTAGGGATAGAACAGGCCTGGGGCGGGGCCGAGGGTAGGGGATGCCTTAAGGAGGGGCTTCAAGCCTTCTGCGCCGTGAGCACGTAGGGGTCCATCCTGTCTCCTCCCTGAGGGTAGGTTAGGGGCTAGCCTGAAGGAAAGCATGGAATAAGCCAGGACATGCACCTTGCTCGGGCCCCGTGGTTATCCTCGTCGGTAACTCCGACGCTTTTCCGAGGGTCGAAGCGCAGGTAGACGACTCTGGGCAAGTACTGACTGCTGCCCCTTCCCTTCGGTTGGGTCGGGAAAACCCTCCGTGAGGGGCGGACACCACCCTGCCCACCCGAGTAAGGCCTTCTCAGTAGGAGCTCGATCTCGAGGCGACTCCCACCCCGGGGCAGGCTCGGAAGCCTC